CCCCAAAACCCCAAAACCCCAAAACCCCAAAACCCCGTTGGGCTAATATATAATTGACGTCAATTTCAATAAAATGGATCCTAGCCATCCCAGTAAGTAAATCACCCTTAAAATCCCTCTAAAACATTTCTCAAGACCTTCAAATTCTTCCCAAACCTTCCTTATCCTCAAAACCCTCATCTACACTCACGAGCATCGTACTATAGAAGCCCCCAGCTCAGACTCCCAAAATGAAGCAGCACAAAATGAAGAAGAGAAGCAGCCACACAACGCTCAGCAGCTTACCACAGAAGAGCACAAACAGCCAGAGTAAGATTCCAAGCTCTTAAGAGGGCTTAGAAAGATTTTGAAACCTTTTATAGTAGCGCAAAAGAAGAAGAACTAAGTGAGGATACCCCTAAAATCGAAGATGAGGAAGTGGAAAATGGTGATGAAAATAGCCCACAGCAGCCTGAAGAGATAGCAGAGGAAAGTAAAGCCAAAGTTGAAGAGGAGGAATCTCATTTAAATGGAGAGTATGACCCAAATGCAAATCCTGAGCCATTCGAGCAAACAGAGGTGATCGAGGATTACCCAATGCACGATCTATACACAAAGAAAAGAGTGCCTTATATTGAGAAAAATAATGGGTCGATAATGGTGAAGGAGAAGAACTATCAAAAAGCAATCGAGTTTTACAATAAAGCTTTGTTTTCAATCAAAATTCTTACTGAAGATAGGGAACTAAATGTTGGAGAAGACTACATTGTAAAAGTAATCAAGGAGGTAGAAATGCCCATAAACTCTAACCTTACTTTATGCTACCTTAAGACAAAGGATTACGAAAATGTAATCAAGTATGCTGACAAGTACCTTAGTGTAGAGCCTGATAGTGCAAAAATTCTATACAGAAAAGGCATGGCTTATACTTTCCAAGTAACTCTTCTTGCTTAAACCTTGTAGAAACATTGTGACTTCACAAAGGCTAAAGAAGCTCTAATGAAAGCTTATAAGATAGCCCCTAAAGATAAGATGATACTTGATGGGCTTAAGACTTTCAAAGAAAGGAAATATGAATATAAATACAAAACACAGAAGATATGTGAGAAAATCTTTGATAAAACTTCTAAAAATCTATATGAAGACAAGAAAGAGGAGTCCAAAGAAGAATCTTCTAAAGAAGAGACAAAGGACATAGATAAGATTAATGGCATGCAGAAAGGAACTATCCCTTATTATATCAGGACCTCTCTTGAGCTCGGATTTGCAGTACCCCTGGTGTTTTACAAGTTCTTTGTGGAAAAACCTGCAACATTCTGAATAAATACAGGTTGTAAATTGATCACTCTCCCTGACCACCTGCCTTGTATTGGAGGCTGCTGAAAGAAAACAAGAAGTAACCTAGCATCTGTGGCAAGGAACACTCTTGGAAAGTATCTTGACAGGAAACCAAAGGAAGGAGGGTCAGATGAAGAAGAGACTAAGGAAAACTTCAAGAAAAATCAATAATCTTAGTGATAAGTGAACATTAGACAAGCTAAAGTTGAATCTTTTCCTGGACTTCACAGAAACTTTTTGGCCATACTTACTATTTCAATGGATTGCTCTTTGATATTGACTAAAAATTAGTTCCCTCTTTGAAAAATTTGAGACATTGAGGAGGATAGAAAAATTGAGAGCCTTAAACAACCCTATCAGCCTAAATTTAGTAGATATTTATGAAGAAATAGTCTTCTTTCATTTCTATTAGTAGTCGATGACCATAATAAATTAATGGTTTGGTCATATCGATTCTTTTCGCCTCAATTAAAGGCAACTAAAACACTCCTCATTCAATTGCGTTCACCATGAAATCCAAATTAATTTCTAAAACTAGTTGTTGAGCGAAATTGAGTGATGAATCTAGAAGAATTCATACCCTTCGCTCCTCGAAATTTCTAAATTACAGTGCAATAACTAATAAGGAACTTTACAAAAACTAGTGCTTTGGGAGGCTTCATCTCTTAGCCTCTAAAACCTCTTTTCTTGGCTTTATTAGGAAGATCCAGAATGAATGATGACATCATTTTTCAGCAAATCAATAATCAAAAACCTTCAAGGGGTTTTGGGGTTTTGGGGTTTTGGGGTTTTGGGG